GTGCCATCTAATAGTTCCTTTTTGTATCTGAGCAGCATTTCATTTTATGAATAAACCATTCATTTTCTTTCCCTGCTTGGTTTTTTGAGGTAAGGTCTCACTGCATAGCCCTGGCCTGCCCTGAACTCACCGTATAGCCCAACCTGTCCTCTAATGAGTGATTCTCTTGCCTCAGTCTCCCTAGTACTGGGATTATAGGAGTAAGCTACCATGTCTAGTTTACCATTCACTTGTTGATGGATACTTTGTTTGCTGGAGCTACTATGAATAAAACTGTATGACCATTTGTGGTGAAGTATTTCTTTGGGCATGTGCTTTCATTTCTCTTGGTTAAATTCCTAAGAATTAGACTGTGAAGTCACTTGGTACATGCATGCTTTAACTTTCTGAGAAACTGCTTAATAATTTCCTAAATTTGTTGTAACTTTTTAATATAAAAGTTAAAGCTAGGGACTGGGGATATAGCTTTTATAATATAAAAGTTAAAGCTAGGGACTGGGGATATAGCTCAGTGGCACAGAGACTGCCTAGCAAGCGTGTGTGAGGTTGTGAGTTCTATTCCCAGTATAAAAAAAAAAAGTTAAAGCTGCGCCACATTCTTGCCATTATTTGGTATGGCCATTTTTCAAAATGTGGGACATTCTAATGAGTTGATAGTAGTACTGTCATTGTAGTTTTAATTTGCATTTCCTTGTTGATTAAAGGTATTAGCTATTTTTTCAAGTGTTGATTGGCTATATTTTCTTTTGTGAAATGCCTTTTAAAATCCTTTGTCTTTTTTTATTTTAAAGATTAGGCTGTTTCTTCTATTATTACATCTTGCATTAGTGTGGTACATTTGTTAGAGCTCATAAATCAATATTGATAATATTATTGTAGTCCTTGTCTTAAATCAGGGTTCTCTCTTCCTGTCTATAGGTCTTGTTGAGTGAATAATGACATGTTTCCAACAGTCCAGAATTCATCACACAGAACAGTCTCCCTAAAAACTCTGGTGCTCTCCTCATGATCTCTCCCTTTGGCAACCACTGCAAACAAACCCCCGGTAACCACCATCTTTTCATTGTCTCTACAGTTTTGCTTTTCCAGAATACAGCTTCCAGTCAGCAATGTCTTGCTGTTGTTTGGTTGCTTTCAAGTTTTAGTGATTATGAAGAGAGCTGATAAACATTTATGGCAGGGTTTGGTGTGCAAAGTTTTCAATTCATTTGGGTAAATGCCAAGGAGCAAGACTGCTGGGTCACATGGAAACAATATGTTTAGTATTGTAAGAAACTACTAAACTATCTTCCAATGTGATTGCATTCCCACTAGCAATGGTTGAGAGTGCCTGTTGCTCTATATCCCTGCCATCATTTGGTGTTGTCAGTATTTTTAATTTTACTCATTCTAAGAGATGTAGAATCTATTAAATTTGCAACTTTCAAATGTCGTTGGTCATCTTTTCATACACTTATTTTTCATTCATATTATCTTCTTTGGTAAGGTATCTGTCCATATTATCTGCCCATTTTAAAAATTGAGATATTTCCCCAGGTGTTGGCACACACCCATAATTCCAGCACTCAGGAGGCTGAGGCAGGAGGATCGTTCTGAGTTCGAGACCAGCCTGGGTTACAAAGTGAGCTCAAGGCCAGCCTGAACTGCATAGAGAGATCCTGTATCAAAAGAACAACAAAAAAAGAGGGATATATTCCCCCTTTTTTGGTACCAGGAGTTGAACTCAGGGCCTCACACTTGCTAGGCAGGCACTGTGCCGCTGAGCTACACCCCCAGCATTATTTTCCCTTTGAGTTTTAAGAGTTTCTCTGCATATTTTTGATGCCAGTCTTTGCCCCCCCCTGCCCCCGTACCAGGAATCGAACTCACGATGTTGCACTTGCCAGACGGACGCTGTGCCGCTGAGCTAAATTCCCAGCCCCTTGATGCCAGTCTTTTATTATATACGTATTTTGCAAATATGAAATAGGAAAGAATTCTTTTTCTTCTATCTTCTACAAGAGATTATAGAAAATATAATTTCATCCATAAACATCTGATAACCCATGTGTCTAACTTAATGATTTCTGTTTTGCAATGTTATTAGTTATTGATTTTCTTGAAAGGATTGATATTTAAAGAGCAGGTAATTTAACATTTGAGGAAGTCCAATTTATGACATTTTTCTTTTGTGCTTACTACTTTTCATGTCCTACTAGAAATGTTTTCCTATCCCAATGACATAAAGATTTTTTTTTTTGAGACAGTCTCACTATGTGGTTAAGGCTGGCCTTGAACTCACTATGTAGCCCAGACTGGCCTCGAACACACAGTGATCCTCCTGCTTTAGCTTCCTCAGTACTGGTATTACAGGCATATATCACAATGCCCAGCTTGTCATAAAGATTTTATCTTAGATTATTGCTGAGAAGTTTTATAGTCTTAAATTTCATATTTAAGTCTATTATTAATGCAAAACGAGTTCTTCTTTTGTTTATGGACAGGAGTTGAGGCTCCTTTTGTTTTCCTTACATGTACAACTGGTTGTTACATTATTCTTTTCCTCTTTTCTTTTCCTTCCCCAGAGTCGGGGGGTGGGCCACCAAGACAGGGTCTCAGTACTGTATGTAGTTCCGACTGGTTTTGATACAATCCTTCTGCTCAGCCTTCCTATTGCTAGGCATGGGCCATAACCAGTATTCTTTCTTTTCTTTTTCTTTGTTTTTTGAGACAAGATCACACTCTAATTCAGGCTAGCCTTGAACTCATGGCAATCCTCAGCCTCCTGAGTGCTCAGATTACAGGTGTGCTGCACCATCCCTGGAACCATGATCAGTTTACATCATCCTTTATGACCATGTCTTGAAAAGGCTATTCTTTCAATTGAATTACCCTGGTATCTGTTGTAGTTTAAATCTAAAATGTTCCCCAAAACCTCATGTGCTTGTAGCTGGGGCTTTTGAGAGATGCTGGTCATAGGGGTGTGATACTCATCAATGAACTAACCCACTGATGAGTTTATAGCTAAATGGGATGTTGGGAGATGAGGCCTGGTATGAGCAGGGTCTCTCTCCCTCCCTCCTCATCCATGCCTTCTGCCATGCTACCCTGCCTTGGAGCCAGGTGACTATGGACTGAAACTGCTACAAACTGTGAGCCAAAATAAACCTTTCCTTTTTTAAATTATGGATATCAGTTATTGTGGATGTCAGGTATTGTGTCGCAGCGATGAGAAAGTAACTAAGACTGTCCTCACTGAAAATCAGTTGCCTTGTAAACTGATTCTATTCTGTTCCATTGATCTATATGTTTATCTTTACTCAAAAACCATACTGCCTTGACATTTGGAGCTTTACAGCAGTCTTAAAGTCAAGTAGTACAAATATTGCAGGTTTTTATCTTTTTAAAATGGTTTTGGTTAATCTAAAACTTCTGCATTCCCACATAAACTTTATAAAAAGCCTGTCATTTGTATTAAAATGCCTTAAAGCTGGGTGTGGTGGTGCTTACCCACATTCTCAACACTTTGGGAGACTGAGGCAGGAGGATCACAAGTTCAAACCAGGCTTTGGCAACTTGGCAACTGAAAACCTGTCTCAAAGTAAAAGATAAAGAAAAGCTGGGACACAGCTCAGGGCAAAGGGTCTGCTCTGGTTTTAATCTCCAGTACTACAATAAAACAAAATCAAATATGCCTACTGGAACTTTTACTGGGATTACATTAAGTCTATATTGGGGGCCGGGATATAGCTCAGCGGCATGGCACCTGCCTGGCAAGCGTGAGGTCATGAGTTTGATTCCCAGTATCCCCCCCGCCCCAAAAGTTGATACATTAAGTCTACCTGGGCTAATTTGGGGATAACTGATATTTTAACAATAATGAGCTTTCTCTCAGTCCTATAGTTTCCAGGGAAGGGTATTATGGCAGCTATTATTCTAAAATGTATGCTTTAATTTTTGTGGTTCATGGTAAACTGCTTTTTTATATCATTATCCAACTGTTTGCAGTTGGTATACAGAAACATAGATGCTTTTTGTATATAAGTATCTTGCGAGCCTAAGTTCACTTAATAGATCAAGTGGCCTTTAAAATTTTTTTTTCTACATAGAAAACGTTTCTATTAACAAAATGCATCTTTAATTTTCAGCATTCTTTCCTCAAATATTATATTATTCTATGTAAGACAGAATAGTCTCATTTCTTCTATCTCACCTTCTGTGCTACCTACTGCCAGACCATTTTACTGTTACATGTTATGTATAATCCACTGTTATTTTTGCTTTAAATAGTTATTTTTTTTTATTTAAAGAAGCTACCAAATGAAAGACAAAAAAAGAATTTTCCATTTAATAATACCTTAACTATCTGGCTTGTTTCATTACTTTATGTAGATGAGAATTTCCATCTGAATTGATCTTTGGCTTGAAGAGTAGTGCAGTTTCCTGGTGACAAATTTTCTCAGCTTTATTTGAAAATATCTTTCCTTCATCTGAATGATACTGGATATAAGAAATCAACTGCTTTCTTATATTGTTTTCTGTTTCATTTCAAATGATGCTAGATGTAAGTCAGTAATTTTTCTTGTTCATCCAATATAGTGTGTCATTTTAAAATTGCTTTTAAATCGGGCATATGGTGCATGCCTATAACCCTAGCACTCAGGAGGATGAGGCTAGAGGGTCCCTGAGAGCTCAGGCTACACCTATCTCAACAGGCAGACAACAACAACAAAGACTGGCATTCAAGGAAAGCATCTCGGGAAACATGCTCTGACACCACATTCTATTTCTGAATGTTCTATGATAGGGTGCTTCAGGTAAGAACACAAAATTGCTCTCCTTAACATCAACTGCTTACCTTAATATCAATTATAATCTAATTAGAGAGTTAATATTGATAGAGGCACAATGAAAAGAGGCTTTGTAACAAGCCAAAGATTTCTGCAATAACAGTAAGAGACAAAGTACGAATCCATATTATCACTAAAGATTTAAAGTGAGGTGCTGTCCCCAACACATACTGTTCAGCCTGGAAGTGGGTCTGGCAGTGGTGGACTGAAGTGAGGCTGGCAGGATCTCTGACTTGATGGTTACGCTGGTGGCCGCACCTTCCATCCTGTCTGTCTCACACAAGCCTGGCAGCTGTGCTGCCTTCTCCAGCGTGGGCAGTAACTGATCAAACTGGTCAAGGTCAGCTGTAAACTAGGAAAAGAAACCAAAGTTAGAGGAAATATATCATCTAGGCTTAGCTGAAACAATGTAGGAAAAAAGTTGCTCTTTTAAACTCTGTGAGTTAAATGTGGTATGAGAGCGTGAAGAAGGAAGAAATAATCACAATGACTGGGTCTTAAAAAAATAGTGTGCTTTTTCCACTGGGGAGGTATATTAATATACGAGAGGATATAAGATAATACAACACAATATGTATTTTGTCTCAGTATAAAATTTATGTATAGGAAAGTTATTGGACTAGAAATGTCAAGAGTACATTTATACTGTATTGTATCGGCACTGCGGTTGATTTCTTTCTATTACTAGTTTTCAAAATTTTACCCAGCTGTGGTGGTACATGCTTGTAATCCTAGCACTCTGACAGGTTGAGGCAGGAGGACTGAAAGTTTGAGCCTAGCCCAGACAACTTAAGTGACTTACTGAGACCCGACTCAAAAATTAAAAAAAAAAAAAGTTAAAAAAATGTCTGGGAATACAGCTCAGTGCAAATGGGTTCAATCTCCACCCAGTACTGTTCCCTCAAAGTAAAGTGACTTACCATAAATTTACATGGTTATGTATTGTTTATTATTTAAAAAGTTTGGGAAATATTTTTATAAATAGTTTATTACCTTCATTGTTCTCAGAAAAGTCATTCCTCACTTAATTCAGTAAATCTATCTTTCAGAATAAATAGGGATCCTCATATCTGTCTGAGGTTATACACAGAAGAAAACAGCTTTTATTTTACAATATTTATGATTATTTTGATACAATTAACAGAAAATCATCTATATGTGTTTAACTCAACTAAAGTTCTTTTTGGGTTGTATCAATAGAATTATACATATTTTTTCAGGTTTTTCTTGAGACAGGGTCTTGCTGTATAGTTCACACTGGCCTTGAACTCACTAGCCCACGTTGGCCTCAAACTTGCTGTGATCCTTTCTGCATCAGCCTCCCTGAGTGCTGGGATTACAGCTGTGTGCCACCATGCCCTGGAAATTTTATGTTTTTCTAAATGTCTGACTTTTTCCAAAATTACATTTCAGATATACTGTCACATGTGGCTATAGTTCATTCATTTTGATTGCTGAATAATACTAATTATTGAATATGTTACAATTATCCATTTTTCTATGATAGATTTTTGGCCTGTTTCAAAATAAAGCTGCTATGAACAATTTTGAACATGTCTTTTACTACACAGGTGCAAAAAGCCTTAACCATAAAGGAAAAAATGACCAAACTCAACTATGTTAAAACAAGGAACTTTCACATCATCAACAAACACTACTTGAGAGAATGAAAAGGTAAGTCCCAGCATAGACAGGGTATCTATAAATATACCCAACAAAGGACTTATATCCAAAATACATTAAGAATGCTCATAAAAGTCAGGAAGCAAAGGATTAGACATTAAAAAAAAATGGGCACGAGACTCAACTAAGCAATTTACGAAGACTATCCAAATGACCAATGAATATTTATCAAAGAAGGCAAAGAAACTAATGAACTACTGTTATACAGATTCTAGAATGGCTCAATTTAAAAGAATGATAATACCAAGTATTGTCAAGGACACAGAATACCTAGAAAGAATTCTCAGCAACTGGGAAACTGCATTATCTACTATAGATGAGTGCATGCAAATCTTATGATCATGTGATCCTACTCATAGATATAATCTCAGCAGAAACAGGGGCACATTTGCACCAAAACAGATGTCCTAGCACATCTGATATACACAACAGCATTATTTTATAAAGCTGTTACTTTTAAAGTACGAGGGTTAAATTTATTATTTAAAGGTGATTTTTTCCTTAAAAACTGTTAATTTATTTTTTTAATTTTAATTTTTAAAATTTTGATTTTATTGGTACATTTTAGATACACATAACAATAACATTCATCATAGGAAATTTATACCTGTACATGGTATATCTCACATCTTCATTTTTCCCATTCCTCTCCTCTCCCTTCAATGCCTCTTCCCCTCCTTATTTACAAAAGCTTTAAATCTATTAGTTTCATTGTACTAAGAAACATGAGACACAGCTGTCTCCTCAAAGAAAATACATGTCAAGAAACAGTCAATATAGTGTTAGCAAGCCTGTGATCGCAGCATTCTCTGAAGCTGAGGTAGGAGGATCACAAGTTTGAGCCCAGCCTGGGCAACTTAGCAAGACCTTGTTTCAAAAAATAAAAAAGAGGGGTTAAATCTCCAGTAACCCCTTCGACCTCCCCAGTGTTATTACAAATTGTAAACAGACACATACAAAGCCATGAGAGCAGAGATGAAGGAACTGTAACTGGAGTTATCTGGGGAAGGCTCTAGAGACTGGATCAGGGCGATGTATGAAGGATAAGTTCAGTAGGCACAGAGAGGAGAGCAAGGCAGAAGATGCTTAGGGAGTCATGCTTGGCTCAGGAATAGCAAGGACTTCCACGTTTCTAGAGTGCCATATGTCCAAGGAAAGAGACTTTCATGAGAGGAGAATAGAAAAATCAAGCTGGTTCAAGAAACTGCAGGACCCAGGCATACTAAGTGTGAATCTTATTTCGTAGTGGAGAGTCTTGTTGATAAACTGCTTTGTAAATACATTATCAGTTATTTTGTGAGTGTCTACTGTCTCTATATACATGAGAGCTCCTAGAGTTTAGGGACCATACATGCATCCTTCAGAAGTCACAAGTAAGTATTCATTAAATGAAGCTGTCTGTTAATTTGTATAATAATCCCAACCCTTCCCAGGCATACAAGTTCCTAATCCATAAGAATTTACAAAAGGTTTATTTTTATTTACTTCTGTTTCAAGGCATGTTAGGTAAGAGCAACATTCTGCTCCCCAGAATATTCAAATCCTATTCTCTGATAGGGGTTGAGAGTGATTAGAATCAGATGAGAACAAAAACAGCCTTAGTAAGCTATGATCCTAGCATCTAGGAAGCTAAGGCAGGAGGACCACCCCTTGAGTTCCAGCTTGGGCTACAAAGTGAGTTCAAGGTTGGTCAGCTTGGAATGCACAGTGACTCCCTGTCTCAGAAAACAAAAAAGAAACAACAAAAACAAAGCCTTAGAATGCTTTACGGAGGTACCCTTGTCTGACTGCTCACATTTCTTTCCCACTTTGTTTATGTCAGATGTTCCCACACTTGTTATGCACCAGTGTTCTCTGGAGAACTTTTTTAAAAAACAGATTCCTAGGTGCTACTCCTGAGTTGAATTTAATATGTGGGATTGGGGAGGGGCAGAGAAGGTAGTTTTGAAAATGTCTAAAGATGTGAACTCTGACTTCATAGAAAGAAAAATCTACTTTTTGAATGCCACATGTCCTACGGCCCTCTAAATTTCTAAAGAGAACTTCTGAGGCCATCCTATGCTTTTTCAATCAGATACTGTACTAACCTCTACTGTACTAACATACCATGAATCCAAACCTGGTGTATGGTTGGAGTAAAATAAATGAAAAGGAAAAATGACTAGGAATGATCATTCCGTGAAGTGAGGAATTACCTACCTGGCTCTGGGACTCCAGTTTAATTTCCTCAGGCGCTGGTTTGGTCACAGGAGTTGGGTTTGTGTTACAAGGATCCATCTGCTCTTTCTTTTCCACTTTCACCTTTACATCATCCAGGCTCAGGTTTGGAGTTGATCTTAAGTCTTTCTCATCCTTATCTAAAAGGTAGCGCAGGAGCTGATGGTCTTTTGATTCTTTCTTCTTTGAAGCATCCAGTTCTAGTTTTATACTAGAATTCCCTTGGGCCTGTCCAGTCACTGACACAGATGTAGATGCACTGTCCTTTTTATCAGGCTCCACAGACAGAGTGGTGATATCTGAGGGGCTACCCTCTTGTAAGAGCCGGTGCAGAATTTTGTGCCGCTCAGTCAGCGAGCTATGAGAAGAAGGGCAAGTACCTCCAGAGGAGTTAGCAGAAGCAGAGTTGGAAGTGCCCGTGCAAGACAGTACATCCTTGCAGCTTGCATCTATGTCTGCGTGCCGTAACTGCTGTTCCGCAGTTGTTGTCAAAAGCTGCACTAGCTTGTGACTGGTTTGAGCATATTTACTGTCTCCATCTGAGAGTCTGTCATTGTTATGCAGAAGCCCTGAATCCAAAGGTTTGCCATCACTAGTGCTGTTGTCAGATTGAATCATTTCATTTAAAATGGATGCAATCTCTTTGTTATCTTTGGACTCAGCTTTTGCTGGTTGTAAATTTAGTCTACTAGGTGAATTCTGTGAGCTCATCTGCCTGAGTACTGGAGAATTGGCAGAGAAGCCAACAGAGTTACTGGGTCCTTCATTCATACCCTGTAAAGATGTTACTGGGATATTTGAGTAAGATCGGTTACTATTATTACAGGTACCACTTGTCATGCCAACTGGGGAGTTCAAAGTTGGAATATTTGGAGGAAATGAATTGTTTGGCATCCTGGCTCTTGCTGCCAAGCCAGAAGTAACCTGTCTCCTTGGAGACATAAACTGCGTTAGGGAAATTCCTGTACCTTCCATAGCAGAATTATTGAGGCCTAAGGATGGATTACTGCTCTGGGAACTGGCCTGTCCCTGGTTTAAGGCAACATTGGCTACAATCTGATTTCCGGGTGAGCATCCAAAACTCCCTTGGTTGTTGCTAGAATTAGTATGACTGCTGTTGCTATGAAGATCTGAGCTCTGCTGGCGGTTTACTCTGGTAGATACCATGTTGCTGTTGGATGGTGGCAATGTGGATGGACGGGCCACACCATGAGCTGGAGAGATACTAGGATTGACCGAGGGGTTTACTCGGGGAATTGACATTCCAGAATTAGTGTCATCTTGGGGAGAAAGCCCACTGTGTTCCCTAGGGGGGGGGAAAGATATTATTATTCAAACATTTTCATTTGTTTATATTAACATATTTTTATCATGTATATTATAATACAGGACCAATGACTTCATTAGAGCTGCAAGCTACCAAGTAAAGAGCTTCTATGTCCTCTTAAATTAAGGAAAAGCAATGGACTGGCAGTGTAACTGTGAAGTATCAGTACCACTTTCTAGGAAATAGTGCTTACATGTCTTTTAATTTGATAATGGTCCAGTTACATGAAAAAGAAGTCTTTCTTAGCAATGGAAAAAAATCCAACAGATATACTTCGCAACTTTTCTAAACTTAATACAAACAGTTAATACTACAATAATACTCCTGGTTAAAAGAAACTTCTCACATGTTTGTTTATAAAATACTTATTTATGACTCTCCTGTTACAGCTTTTAAGTATTTCAACTCCAAAGAGGAAGACTGGGTAAGGAAAATACTGCGTCGCTGATGTGAAAATTAAAAAGGGTGATATGCAGACATAGCAGATGTTTTGAAAGAGAAATCACAATATGAAAAAAGAACTGTGCTAATTCCACTCACAAGAATAATTTCAGGTAAAACTAGAAAAAAATGGAATACTGAATTCAGTTTTTTATAAAGTTTTTAACTCAAATTCATAATTGTAACAATAGATTTGTGACTGGTATTACCATGTTCCAATAAGCAAAAACATCTGATGAAGAAAAGATGAAGTGAGGGAAATGTCTGTTGTTAATGCTAAGTTTTAAACAGTTGTAAATGCAGGAATTTGAATAGGTCACTGGATAAAACAACAGTTCCATGAGTTTACCATGTATACCAATATAAAACATATTTAGAGAGGGGGAAAAATCAGAGGAAACTGCGTTCAAAAATCTCAACTTGATGGTTGACTGATTTATAGTTTCTGTGGGAAACTGTCAACTTGAATTCAAAAGCCATACAGTTTGTACTAATGAAAATAAAGCATTTTGAAAAATAAAAACAACAATGTTACAAACTCTGAAATTTTTTCTAAGACTACAAATTCATAGGTGGACACTATGAATCTTTAGGCACCATTTGTTTTCAGCCCCTAACACACATATATTTAGTCTCACCTTTCCTGTCTTCCTTTACGAAAACCAAAGTTATTTAGTGACAAAATTCTAAAACCTAAAATGGATATATTGAGTATATATTCAGTACAGTACTCTAGTTTTATACCTAACTTAGAACCTCTGTTGCTAGTCACCAAGAGCATCGATTTTCTCTAAGAAGAGGTATGTGAACTGACTTATTTCATAGGAAGCTCTCCGAATAAGTAGTACCTGTCGATGATATGAATTCCCATGATGAAAGGCTGCATGTCTGGACTTTGAGGATAGCAAAGCTTACACTTGGTGTGGGCGCTAAGCATTGTCCCATCATTCAATATGAATCTATAGGATGGGCTGGAGGCAGTGCCACGAGTCATCACTGTTTCAAACAAAAGAGAAACCTAGTTAAAATTCTGCACTTGAACGATGGGCAAAGGACAGTAACCAGGCCTTATTTCTACCTACAGTCTCATTTTAAATGCCCTCCCCATGGCTGCCTGCTTGGACTCAAAGAATAGTTCAGACAAAGCAGATACTGTATCTGAGTGGGAAAAATGATTCCAGTTGAAATAAAGCACTTGATAACAGGTTTTAATTTAATACTCCTTGCACAGGTGCCTCCTCACATAAATTAAGATTATGAAGAAACCCCAAGCCAAGAGAATATCAACGTCTCCTACAAAGAACATTAATCTTCTCCTATAAAGAGGCAGCACTTCAAATTTATTAAGTCTCCATTAAAAATATCAGGAAGTACTCTTCCTCCTTTACTTTCAGTGTTACCCTTAGCAAGTTTCATTTTTTTGGGCCTATTTTTAAAATAACAAGTCTACTGAGATATAATTCACATGCGATAAAATTCATCCTCTAAGTTCTGATTAGTTTGTAGAATTCCTTTACTAATAATCAAGTTTAAATTTCACTCAGGGATATTAATCAGTAAGGTTCCATTTTATAAATTATTAGGTACATACAGAGTTTGCCAAAAAGTGTATACACACTCTAGGAAAAGAAAAATAGTACAATTTTTTTTAACAGATAGTGTGACCCTCATATGGGGGACCCTAGAGGATGTTGTGTATCACAGAAAATTCATTACATTGCTGGCCCTTAGAGAAGAAACTGAAAATGCAATTTTCAGGAGTCTGCCATACTAATAAATATCTGGAAGGTAAGAGCCAGCACTTTGAGCACCTCTTGTAATTACAGAGGCGAAAGGTAACTTGTATTACTCTCATGATGTCTCGATAAATTTAGTATTAAAATATTTATACAAGTTTTTCTTTTTCTGAAAGGTGTATACTTTTTTGTTGGACTCTATATATTCCCCCACCACCCCAGACTGGAGATCAAACCCAGGGGTGTTCTACCACTGAGTTCCATGCCCAGCCCTTTTTTTTTTTTTTTCAGCCCTTTTTATCTTTCATTTTGAGACAGGGTCTAAATTGCCTGGGCTAGTTTGGAACTTGTGATCTTTCTGCCTCAGCCTTCTGTGGAATTACTATGCCTGGTATGTATTATTAATGTTTGAATTTTTCCAGTTTAGTAATGAGCAAATTAAGATAAAGCCAATGACTGACAATATAAGGAACAAAAATTTGGTTATGGCAGTCAAATCATTTTACAAATAATATTTATATTGTCTTAAAACTTTCTAACAGCAGACAAAATTCTAATCATGGAGGTCAATGCTTACTAAATATGTAAAGGCTGTATCAGACTAAAAAATAAAATGTCATTGATATTTTAGTAATATAACAGAATTCTATTTTAAGAGGGATTTAATAAATAAATTCAGCTATATCAAGGTTAGAAATCGTATCCAGAGGGGGGAAAAAAAAGAATTACGACCACAAATGACTATTATAACTCAGGCTGTATTAATCTTAGCCCTATTTTTCAAAGACATTTCAGAAAGGGTTTCAATTACATTTTAAATGGCATATGAAACAGACTTATCAAACATGTAAGTTTTAAAGCTACGTGTTACTTGAAAGAAGGTATGTCCCATTTTATTGTCTCGGGGATCCAAAATCAACTGCAGAAGGCAGTCTGTTATAAACCTATACTATAATAAATCTAAGCATTAAAACTAGGACAAAAACTTCATTGACAGGATTGAGACCTATGCCCAACCAAACACATTCTTTTTTTCTTTCCTTTTTTTTAGAGGAGAAGGGGTTTACTTTGGCTCACAAGTTCAGAGGTTTGACTCATGTCTGACTTCAAGGCAGGTGCATCAGGGAGGAAGGCTTTGGTGGAGGAAGGCTGCTCAGTTCATGGCACCAGAAAGCAGTGTGTTGTAAAAGGCCTGGGGCCGGGTACAGTTGCCAGGATGGTGCCCCTGTAGCCCACCCAGACACCCCTACAACTGCCCTTTACTAATCTCCTAGGTGCCTCTTGAGCCAGTCAAGGTGACAATCACAACAAATAAAGCCTTTTTTAAGTTGTGCAGTAGTAATATTTGAACACAGGGCCTTTGCACTAAGCTAAATCCCCAGCCTCTCCTCCTTAAAAATTTTTTTGTAAAGCACATAAAAAGTAAGAAAAAAAACCCAATAAAAACGATACAGAATTTCAAAACAAGACAATAGGAAATTAACAATGGCTGTTATATTACATATTGTTATCATCATAGTAGTTGTTCAGATACCACATATAGGCACGCAAAATTAAACAATTAAGCATTAACTGTTTCTTTCAATAAACCATAAAAATTATTAGTACAATTATCTTAGCTATTTCATCTCACCCCAGAAAGGATAACTATCATCAAGAAATCAATCCATAACAAATGCTGGAGGGGCTGTGGGGAAAAAAGGAACCCTTCTCCACTGTTGGTGGGAGTACAGACTGGTGCAACCACTGTGGAAATCAGTGTGGAGATTTCTCAAAAAGCTAGGTAGGATTAGAGGACTTATTCGACCCAGCTATTATGCTTCTGGGCATCTTTCCAGAAAAACTGAAAACATGTATGTGTTGAAAAGCGATATATGTGAAAAGCAATATATGTGCACTCATGTTTACAGCAGCACAAATTGTCATAGCTAAATCTTGGAAACAACCCAAATGTCCATCAACTGAGGAAAGGATAAAAAAGGATGTGGTGTTTTTATACAATGGAGTACTACTCAGCTATAAAGAAAGATACACTCGAGGCTTTTATAGGTGAATGGATGCAACTAGAGACCATATTCATAAGTGAAATAAATCAGACTCACATGTGTAAACATCATATTGTCTCCCCAGTGTAAGAAACTGAAAGAGTAAATAAAACCTGGAAGGTACAATAGATAATGTGAAAGGGAAAGAAACTGCTCAAAAGGAAAGAACAACTGGGATGAGGGAAAGGAGAGAAGAAAGAAAGAAGGAAGGGGTAAAAATATACATACATGTATTTTGGTACTGGGAATTGAACTCAGGACCTTGCACTTGCTAGGCAGGTGCTGTGCCGCTGAGCTATGTCTCCACCTCCCCCAAACACATTCTTTACCCATCTAGCAATTTCAGTGAAATCACTGGCACGCTTACCAGACAATGCACAGGGATATATAGTCATAACTTCTGTGGAAGAATATAAGTAAATGTTGGCTAGAATAAATCCTAAAATTTTATTAACAGTCCCAACTGTTAATATCCTTTCAACAATTCATTTTGGAAAATACAACTGCAACCAAAAAGAGGAATCTTAAACTATTAATATGAGATGATAAATCCAAAAATACATAAAGGGCCCAAGAAAGATATATGTTTCATGTTATGCCATTTTATCTATTTCCTTACCGTGTTTATTTCTCTTCAGGCTTTCTTTATTCTTCTGGGAAACACTGGTTACTCTGCAAAGCTGCACTATTCAATACAACTGCCATCAGCCACACATGGGCATTTGAAATTAAATAAAATTTAAAATTCACTTCTTTGGTCACATTAGCTACATTTTAAGTGCTCAACAGCCACCTGTGACCAATGACTATCATACTGGATGGCACAGCTTGAAGTAATCTGACTTTGCTGGGTGTGGTGGCACATGCTTGTAATCCCAGCACTCGGGAGGTTGAGACAGGAGGATCGCTGTGAGTTCGAGGCCTGGGCTACAAAGTGAGTTCAAGGCCAGCCTGAACTGCATAGTGAGACCCTGTCTCAAAAAAAAAAAAAAAAAAAAAAATCTGACTTATACTGACATTTTCAACCTTACTTATCATCATTTTCTAAATATTCCTCCTAAAGTCCTTCTACAGACTTACTTTTCTTCATTAGCTAGAATAAGCATAAGAGCTGGTACTGTGTCCCATCTTTGTTTTCTCTTCTCCACTGAATCTTTATAGTGAAATCATCCAGAAAGTGCTGGCTGACTGATCATCAATTTGAATCTCACCTAATCAGGCCAACACTGACATGTGATCAACTGCCATAATTTGCTTTAAAGACATTTTCAAGCTTAGCTATCTTCTCAAATATTTCTATATCAATTTATGTTGTTTGTTTTTTCTTTTTTTAAGACAGGATTTTGCTATGTAGACCAGGCTGGCCTCGAACTCACGGCGATACTCTTGCCTCTGCCTCTCTAGTGCTGGGATTACAGGCATGTGCCACCATGCCCATCAATTTATGTTTTTACTTTTGTAGGTATCTAGATTTAATTTTTATTTATTTATTTTTTTGAGACACCGTCTTGCTATGAAGTCTAGGCTGGCCTCAAACTTGTGATCCTCCTGCCTCAGCCTCTTATGCGCTGGGATTACAGACATGCACCACCATACCCAGCTATGCTTATTTTGTAATGAAAATTTATGAATAGAAATTTGTTTACTGACAAGCCATACAGAATAAGAAACAACTAAAAACTCAAGCTAACACAGAAATCTTACGATATTTAATGTGGATTACAGAAATATTAGTAGTCTTTTGTTTAATTATGCTGCCTAACCATAGAACTACTTGTGAAAATTTTGCAATTTTGGGGACTTTATTAATGAAATATAAGGAATTTATCATACCTTAAATTTTCAAGTGAGAATTATTTGGAATGATAATGTATGGAACAAGAGCTACCATATTATAATTCACATAGCCATTCTTTGAAATAAGACAAGAATAACAATACAGTCATACTTCTTTTTTATTTTTATTTTTTTGTGGTACTAGAGACCGAACCCAAGGCCTTCGGCACTCAATCTACCTCTGAGACTTATTCCTATAGCCCTTGATGCTACAATTAATTGGACTCTTCACTTAACTGAAACTCTGGTGCTTGATTGTTCAGACAAACAAATAGTAAAAAGGAAGGCAGTACGGCTCAATGAAAAGATTAAGCTGAGGAGTCAGAAGTAGGCCTGACCTCTGATTCTCATTTATAAGTTTAGGACTTAGTGCAAATTA